GTAGTGCCAAGTTAAAAAGCTAAAAGTTAAGTTAAAAAGTTGAAAAGTTAAATAATTTTAACTTAACTTAGTTACATTTTAGACTCTTAACTTTATAACTTTTTATTTAGTTACATTTTATCGATAACTATTAACTTTTTATTTAAATTTTTTGAAGTTAAGTCTCAGATTCAAACGTATACTTCATTTAGAATACATATACTCAATATTTTATTTAAAAGTTTTGTTTGTGTATATTATTTACATTATATATTGATTTCAATCTAGCAAAAGCCGTATATTTTAATGTATCTAATTTTTGATAGGTTGAAATCTATATATATATATATATATAACAGTATATATAAACAAAAAGTTTAAATAAAATATAGAGTATATTCTAAACGAAGTATATGTTTGTGTGTGTGTGTGTGTGTGTCATTTCCGTTATTTGTAAGATTCTGAAATCATAAAATAGAAAGAAACTTAACTTTTAATTTCTCAATTACTTTTTTTTATTAACTTAACTTTTAATTCAATTAATTTCATTATACATTAACTTGTGTCTTAACTAAGTTAAATTTCCAAGATTGTTAACTTTAACTTAACTTAGTTAAAAGAAAAAATTAACTTACGCAACCCTGGTAATAAGGGTGTCCAAAACTAAAGTGTGTACTAAGAGTTAATATTCACAAAACGAAGAGTGAAATATGCGACAGTATACGCGGTAATTGGGTCTGTTTTCTGTGGCTGAACTAATGTACACTTTTGGAGCTAAAAGTGGGATAGATATTACGTTTGATACTTGTTTAAAGCGAGAAAGAGAGTTCTAGAACAGTACAGTGCAGCAACAGAAAACAGACTAATTGTTTGAAGCGCGTTCGTTACAGAGTGCGTGAAAATAAAGCGACGTCAGCGTTACGCGGAACTCGGTGACGCAGCGCGTTGTTATAAACGTTCGCGGCGATGCCGGTGATCTTGTTATCATTCGCGCGGTGAGGGTCGAGCAGGCAGGACGCAACGGCTCGGCTCGCTTGGCGTATCGTCGTATCATTTATCCCTCGAGCCGCGAGAGGTATACTGAGGAAAATTGAAGATGATTCTTCAATTTGTACGATTAGATACCCTACGATAAACGATTCGCGAGTTTATCATAAGAGACGAGCGTTCGGCAAGCTGAATATTTCGCGTGATTTATTCACTTGAAACGGAAAAATAAGATTACGAATTGTCTTTGTAGTATTTCTCTTTTTAAGGTGCTCCTTGCATTCGAGTAACTCTTATATCGCACTTCAATTGTTTTTTTAGTTTCTTTCGTAATTAAATTTACATATGAACGTATTGAAAATTAATATTTTCGGTTAATTTGTGGAGTTCTTGGGTTTATTTCGAGATGTACTGACAGTGTACTTAGTCAATACTGTCGCAATTAACGTGTTTTGACCGTTAACTCGTTAATGTAAATTCAGCGTTAACATTTCGGCAATGTCTTGAAACACTTGTCTGACGAGATTGTTCGAACGAAGTCCAGCGCTTGACGACAAGGCAACGAACATATTTTTGGATATTACTTCCGTGCGGATATTTATCCTTGTCTTTAATTTTAAGTTGCATGTTCGTTTGTCTTGCAACAAGAAATAGCAACCGTCTCCGAACGCGAGCATATATTATTTGTTAAACTTAAAATGCTGAAAATGTAAGAAAATTCAGTTGAGGTGAGACAAGAGTAACCGTCGCGCGTCGTCTCGGGAGGGGGGGGGGGGGGG